AGACCTGATACAGTCAATAAATAAATAGATAGATATTTTAAAAAGTTATTGCTATGAGTCTTCTTGAAGAGGAAACATTTTTGCAAAGGCATTAAGTATAAAACTATGACTATCTATGAATGACAAAAAAGACTTAAGGCACAGTTAAGTGCCTGATTATACAATGCCATTGACAAAGAAACTCGGTTACTGCTGTGACATACAATGTTTTAAGATAATAACTAGAATTATGACAGATAATAGTTTATCAGAACATACCATATTTTTAGAAATTCCATATAATTTTTAAAATATCTAGATTAAAAACAATAGCTCAGGACTTCCCTGGTGGTCCACCGGTTGAGAATCTGCCTGCCCATTCAGGGGACATGGGTTTGATCCCTTGTCTGGGAGGATTCCACATGCTGGAGGCAACTAGGCTCATGTGCCAGATCTACTGAGCCCGTTCTTCCAGAGCCTATGCTCCACAACAAGTGGAGCCACCACAGCGAGAAGCCCTTGAAACGCAATTAGATAGTAACCCTCGCTCACAGCTAGAGAAAGTCCATGTGCAGCAACAAAGACTCAGCATAGCCAATAATAATAATAATAATAATAATAAAATTTTTAAAAGATGAGGTTTCTGTCATTAAAAAAGGATTACCCACACAATATAACCTAAGAAGATTTATTACATGTTTGACAATACTTCCCATTAATTAACATATCAAATGAACTTAATTAGTTTAATATCTTTCTTTGGGATGTTTCAGGGTCCCTTAAAGCATCCCAAAGTAAGCTGGATGTTAAATAAACTTCACTAGAATTTTATTTGGGAAGTCTGTCAAAAAATATCAAGAAGTTTTAAAACTCTTGGTCAAATAGGATCATAGGTCACTGTTAAAAAACAGTTATTCACTTAACCAATGTGACAATAAAATATATCAGAGGCAAATATAGAGGCAAATCACTTAAAAAGTAAAGAAACTTAAAATTTGCTGCAAAGCAGATCAACATTTTAAGAAAACATTGTTCTCTTAACAGAGAGAAAAGCCAAATTTAAATTTCCACAGTTTACTTTTAAAATTGACTTACTCAAATTAATTCAAAATTTAGTCAATCCTAATCATGCACAAATCTCTTCTCAGGGCTCCTTATCCATCACTTTCTATATCCATATTAGTTTGTCCCTTATTTTCTCCATCCAGAAACAACCAGCTCTAGGATAAAATTTCTTTCCCTTAGTGAAATACAATTCCATTCCTCATATCTTCTTTTATTGAAAACATATATCCTACTTTCTTACTGCATACTGAAACTTTTATTATTTCTAGTAGCTTTAATGACATTTAAATTAGAATCTTCAACTCTTAAAAACCTTAATTTCTAGTGAAAACTAAAAAGTAAGCAATTGTGAACTGTCTACTACATTAGCATTCTGTAGACTGGAAAGCATAAACACCGATAACAATTGCTAAAAACATGTGCTTTTTTATATCAACTATCTCAGTATGGCACCAAATATATTTATTAATAGTACTGAATACCTTTGGTTTCTCTGTGAAAGGAGGCTGATGTTTAGTAATTAAAGTTTCAGTACCTTATTTTATTTGGGAATGATAAACTTCTATCATTTAATTTAACTTTGCACAACTCTAAAATTTTAAGTTACCAAAATATCTGGAGAGATTATTTTTAAGTAAACATTCCCGGGGGGGCTTTTCCAGTGCTCAGCTGGTAAAGAACCTGCCTGCCAATGCAGGAGATGCAAGAGTTGTGGGTTCGATCCCTGGGTCAGGAAGATCCCTTAGAGAAGGAAATGGCAACCTCCTCCAGTATTGTGCCTGGAAAATTCCATAGACAGAGGAGCCTAGCAGGCTACAGTCATGACATGACTGAACACACATACGCATGCACAGATATTCCTAAAATATAATTACTCCTAAAGAATTCACCCAAAAGCTCTTATCTTGTTTATATTTTACTTATAAGAAATGTCATCATATCAAGTTATTTCTCTTGCTGACAAACTTGCAATAGATGTTAAGATCTTATTTGACTTCTATCAAGCCTAGGTACCTGGTGGATCAGAGGGTAAAGTGTCTGCCTGCAATGCAAGAGACCTGGGTTCGATCCCTGGGTTGGGAAGATCCCCTGGAGAAGGAAATGGCAACCCACTCCAGTACTCTTGCCTGGAAAATCCCATGGACAGAGTAGCCTGGTAGGCTACAGTCCGTGGGGTCGCAGAGTTGGACATGACTGAGCGACTTCACATTCACTTTCAAGCCTAGGTACAGCATAAGTATTACACTAAAATATTGATGTCTCTAAAGACATGTCCATATTAATTAAATCAACAAGCTTTATTGTTGTTCATTTGCTCAGTCATGTCTGACCCTTTGTAACCCCATGGACTGCAGCATGCCTGGCCTCCTTGTCCCTCATCATCTCTCGGAATTTCCCCAAGTTCATGTCCATCGAGTCAGTGATGCCATCCAGCCATCTCATCCTCTGTTGTCTCCTTCTCCTGCCTTCGTTCCCAGCATCAGGGTCTTTTCCAATGAGTTGACTCTTCACATCAGGTGGCCAAGGTATTGGAGCTTCAGCTTTAGCATCAGTCCTTCTAATAACTATTCAGAGTTTATTTCCTTTAGGATTGACTGGTTGGATCTCCTTGCTGTCCAAGGGACTCTCAAGAGTCTTCTCCAATACCTCGGTTCAAAAGCATTAATTCTTTGGCACTCAGCCTTTTTATCGTTCCCCTCTCACATCCGTACCTGACTACTGAGAAAACCATAGCTTTGACTAGACAGACCTTTGTCAGCAAAGTCATGTCTCTGCTTTTTTTTTTTTCTTTTTTTTTAAATTTATTTATTTATTTATTTATTTATTTATTTTATCACAACCATAGTGTATCTTTTTTTTTTTTTTTTTACATGTATTCCCCATCCCGGTCCCCCCTCCCACCTCCCTCTCCACCCAATCCCTCTGGGTCTTCCCAGTGCACCAGGCCCGAGCACTTGTCTCATGCACCCAACCTGGGCTGGTGAACTGTTTCACCCTAGATAATATACGTGTTTCAATGCTGTTCTCTTGAAACATCCCACCCTCGCCTTCTCCCTGAGTCCACAAGTCTGTTCTATACATAGGAGTCTCTTTTTCTGTTTTGCACATAGGGTTATCGTTACCATCTTTCTAAATTCCATATATATGTGTTAGTATACTGTAATGGTCTTTATCTTTCAGGCTTACTTCGCTCTGTATAATGGCCTCCAGTTTCATCCATCTCATTAGAACTGATTCAAATGAATTATTTTTAATGGCTGAGTAATATTCCATGGTGTATATGTACCACAGCTTCCTCATCCATTCATCTGCTGATGTCTCTGCTTTTTAATATTCTGCCTAGGTTGGTCACAGCTTTTCTTCCAAGGAGCAGGTGAGGTGAAGTCGCTCAGTCATGTCCGACTCTTTGTGACCCCATGGGCTGCAGCCTACCAGTCTCCTCAGTCCATGGGATTTTCCAGGCAAGAACACTGGAGTGAGTTGCCATTTCCTTCTCCAGGGGATCTTCCTGACCCAGGGATCAAACTCGGGTCTCCCACATTGTGGGCAGACGCTTTACCGTCTGAGCTACCAGGGAAGCCCAAGGAGCTAGCATCTTTTAATTTCATGGCTGAAGTCATCATCTGCAGTGATTTTGGATGGTATTTAATTTAATACTAGGTAACTCAGCTGGTAAAAAATCTGCCTACAATGCAGGAGACCCTGGCTGGATTACTGGGTCTGGAAGTTTCCCTGGAGAAAGGATAGGCTATCCACTCCAGTAGTCTTGGGCTTCCCTGGTGGCTCAAAACTTTAATACCAGGTATTAATTTAATACTAAAAATTTCCCAGTTCATATGAATATAAAATTCATTCTGGCAAGTTTTTTATTCTGAAAAATTTATGTAAGCTCTTAATCTTCTTTAAGCCAATTAAGTAGAGCTAATATCATGCAAAGTTAGATGATATTAACAGACATATAGACAGATACAACCAGAGGTCTCATAGCTTCATTTTAACACTTAGCCATGAATCAAGTATTACAATATAAAACTTATTAGAGTGCCTTGTTCTTGATCTCTGCCCTGAACTCCAGCATTGAAAGTCAATGACTGCAGTGGCTAGTGACCTAACCCTCGTAGACGCAGAGGGCAAATAGCAGTTTTAGTTGGCACCCACCTCACAACAGAACCCCTCTCTTGACATCCTGAAACCCAACAAGAGTACAGTGACCTCAAGGACTGGGGTGTAGCCAGGTGGCACTGGGCTCCCCCCACTTGACTCTCTGCCCTTCCAGAGCTCTTTTCCAATGTTTATGAGCAAGGACATCTCAGGTTGGGATCTTTGTAAGGCACCTGGTCTGAGGGAGCATCTTCCTTGGGGTGGTCCTGAGGCAGTACCGGTGGCCCACCTAAACTGAAACTGTGGCAGGAGATCGCCAAGAGAGGGGTCAGGATGGAGGACAGTGGAGAGAGCACTGTGTGGGGAGTCAGCAGCCTGGCTTCTTACTCTGGTTCTATTAGGACTTGCTATGGTAACTTATGAAAGTCTCTTCCTTCCCTGGGCTGGCTTCTTTATCAATAACACATGGACATTGCACTGGATACCTGTGGCCTACATACTGTGCTACGAAGAGGGAGAGAGAGAGAAGAAAGGAGGCACAGAGGAGGTGGAACTGATGGAAGTGACCTTGTGAAGCCAGGTCACTTCCCGGAGCCTCAGTGTCCTCATCTGAGAAATGGGAATTGCTAATAGATTAAAACGTGTTCTGAAAGATAGAGGTAAAGCGACCGTGGTGACTCAGGATAGAGCCTTCAAAGCAACGCGTGCTGGAAGAACATTAGCGCCTAAAAAATGCGGGGGCTGGTTTCCTGGGAAAGGAGGGTTTCAGGGCTGAGGGGTAGGAGCTGTTCCAGGGCTTCCAACTGACTATTGAGGTAAATGGAGAAGGGGTGTCCCAGAGACTCGCAGGTGCGATGCCTGCTGTGACTTGGACTCCCACATCAGACCCTACGGAAAGGTCACATCTCCCAGCTTCTCTCACCCAGAATCACGGCCTTTGTTTAGAGGAGGGGATGAGGGAGGAGACAGAGGCCCAGCAGGGAGGGGCCGGGGCCGCCCCCGCCGCTCCGGCTTTGCGGAGCCAGGCAGCCTCGCTCCGCTCCCGGGCTGGGGCAACGGAGGCGCCGGGCGCCAGAGCTGAGTCTCAGCCAGTTACTCTCCCTCTGGATTCTTCAAGCATCCCTGGAGCGAGCGACTGCGCACGGTGTGTAGCTAGGAGGGCGCTTGGACAGAACCGTTCAGGTGGCTCGGAGCTCTGCCAGCTTTGGTAAGTCGGTACCTTGTTCGCCTGCGGTCATCCCCAGTGGGGATGGAGGAAAGGGCTGACAGGGACTGCTAGAATCCCCCCGGGACCGGGTGTTTACGAGGGTCCCTGGCAGAGCCGGACTGGGATTGGGGACTGCTAGGAAGCAGGAGCCAGCGTGTCTCAGGTGGGTGGGCGTATGGCATGCATGCGCGGCAAGGTGGGAGACGGGGATCTCTGCACCCTGGCCGCTGCTGGGCTCAGTGCTCCAGACCCGCGTCTGCCAGACCAGTCCCAGGTGCGAAACTGGGGCGCTACCTCTTTAAACGCGTCCAGTCTGAGCCTCTGCTGCACCATGTGATTGCTTGAAAGGCAGGGCTGGGAGCCTGGAGGATGGTGAACCGCTGCGCGCGGAGCCCAGCCCTGCCTGGCGCAGCCTCCAGCCTCCGGAGGCGCCAGGTGCCCAGAACTTTGGGCACCGCCTCTGGGACTCGCTGGCCACCAGCAGACAGGATGGTGAGCTCCCTGCGTCCTGTTCCGTGAGCATGGGTAGGTAGAGCCAGGCACCCGGAGCCCTGCGGGTTGTGTGTGTGCTGGGAGCTGCCTCACACCTGATAAAAAAAAAAAAAAAAAGCCAGTGGAGGAGTGAGTGCTGCTATTTTAAGTTGTTGAATGGATCCTCTGGGGTTGACAGGGGGAGGGGCAGAGATTAGGCAGAGAAAGGGTTAGCGTACCCTCAGCTTGGGTAGGCACTAGATGTGCCAAGTGGGGCACATCTCCAAAGGGCAGCTGGAGTTCCAGCGCTGCCTGGGTCCCCTCCCCCCAGGCAGGCCTTCCCACCCTAGGCTTCCGTGACCACAGGTGCTTGCCTCCTGCCCTTTGGCGCCTGTCTGCTGATGTGCCCAGCCTGTGCCCACCATGCCGCCCTCCATCTCGGCCTTCCAGGCCGCGTATATTGGCATCGAGGTGCTCATCGCCCTGGTCTCTGTACCTGGGAACGTGCTGGTGATCTGGGCGGTGAAGGTGAATCAGGCCTTGCGGGATGCCACCTTCTGCTTCATCGTGTCACTGGCAGTGGCTGATGTGGCTGTGGGCGCGCTGGTCATCCCGCTCGCCATCCTCATCAACATTGGCCCGCGGACCTACTTCCACACCTGCCTCAAGGTCGCCTGCCCTGTCCTCATCCTCACTCAGAGCTCCATCCTGGCCCTGCTGGCAATTGCTGTTGACCGCTACCTCCGTGTCAAGATCCCACTCAGGTGAGTCTAGAGCAGCTGCAGGTACCCCATGCCGGGAGACTCGAGGGCCATCTGAAGAGGATAAAAAGCAGAGCATAAAACCCCACAGGAGCCGGACTTTCCTTGGGCCGTTATGCTCCAGCCCTCACTCTGCAGCACCAAGCTGAACTGAAGTTGAAGCAGGAAGGGGCTGGGTGGTTGGAAGAATGTGAACCCAGCAGTGCTCGGGCCCCCAGAGCTGAAGCTGCTGCTGCTCTCCTGATCCGGCCAGGGCACCTGAGGCCGCCTGCACAGCCTGTGGAGGCGGTGGTGGGGAGGGGCTGGGTGATGGAGCTGAGCTCCCCCAGTTTGAGGCAAGTAGAAAGCAGGTTGCTCGGGTGGGCTGAGGGTGACGCACCGCAGACAGGGGTGCCTCTTCTCTAGCCAGACCTGGGAAGACTTCCTAAAGGTACTCCACAGTTCTGTTCTCCAGATTCCCCCGTGCTAGCCGGCTCCAAGCTCCAGGGCTCTCCTGCTGAACCCAAGCAGCCTGATTACCTCTGCCCAACTCCCGCTTATGGAATCTCTGCTGCAGGCAGGAGGAGACAGGCTCTTAATGATCCCGTTCTGTTGTGAAACCGGTGTTTCTCCAGTCACAGCAGAGGTCCTTATGCTGTGTCCAGGCAGCACCAGAGTGGGTGGCCTAATTACGGCAGTCCTCTCAGGCAGGTGTCGAGCCCACACTGCGGTTCCTTCACCGGGCCTGCCAGGCCATAGGCTCATCACCAGGCAGTGCCTGGGCCACCAAGTGCCAGCAAATGCCTGGGCACACGGCCAGTGCTGCTTTGCTGGGACATTCTTGTGAGGCACGCTTGCCTCCTCTTTAAATCCTCTCACTGGTATATTCTCTCTCTACTGTGAAGTTCTAGCGATCTTTATCACCAGCCATCCCTGGAGTAGCTTCCATATCTGGGATATGGGGCCCCTGGTCTCACTTGATGATTTGCCCAAGCAAGCCTAGGCACCCAAATTTGTCCTGTTTGTACATTTACTTTTTCAAAGCTTCTTTAATGTACTATTTTTTCCCCTCTTTTCAACATGATTCTATAAGGGAGGTGAAGTGGAACCTGGTCAAGGGGAAACAGATCCAGAGAATCTCCTGAGGCTGGCTGGGAACACAGCCTTAATCCCACAGCTTCCCTTCCTTCCTGATTCCCCCGTGTCCTAGCCCCTCTGTGCCGGTCTCTCTGCCCTGTTTACCCCTCTCACAACATCCAAGTTTCCCAGGGAAGGTGAAGACTGCTGCTCAAGGGAGAAGGGAAGGCAGTCCAGAGAGCCTGTGAGCTGAGGGGCCTTCCTGCTGCTATTAGCCCCAGGTCACGGCTGGCCTGTGCTGACGAACCTGGTTTCAGTCCATTAGAGTGGGCTGGGCCTCTGAGCCTGGCCATTACAACAAAGTGTTGCCACAATCAGAAAGTCACACAGATTTGTGAATATAAGAAAGCTGCTTAAGAAATGTGGTCTACTGAGTGGGTGCCAAGGTGAGACAAAGGCCTGGCCATGATGTAACAGTGATCACAGACTCACAGAATGTGCCTGACTTGTCCTGTGGGGGTGGGGATGGCTGAGCTGGCAGGAACTGCAGGCTCATTCCTGCAGAAGGCAGCTTCTGTCACTCCTTGCTTCAGCCTTGAGGCGGCAAGGTGGCAGGCGGGTGGTCTTTAAGAGCTATCATTGGAGGGCCAAAGCAGAGGCTTTGGCATAGAGGCTAAGACTACAGGCCTGGGTTCAAATCCTTGCTATGAATTCCTAGCTTTAAGAAAGTCACTTGTTCGCCTCCTTCATTTTTCATTTCCATGTCAATGAAAGGAGACATTAATAATAGTACCTTCCTTCTAGGGTGCTTGGAAGAATATAATAAATTCCTACATATAAAGCACTTAGTACTGTATTATACACTTAGCATTATATGCAGTCCTTAAGTGGTAGGTTTATTTTGTTGCTTTATTATCATTAGTAACATATGGGTCTGAATAGGCAAGCCCTGTACTCCCACCTCCCACACACTCATGCTCTTATATAATAACACATATGCCTATACACACATGTGCACACACAACACAGTACATTCCCCGGGAGGTGTCAAACTACTACGAAATTATATTTATACATGTTTCTTCTCCCTTGCTAGATTGTCATGCCTCAAGGGCGGCAACCTAGCAGTGACCACATTTTGTTAATTCTTACAGTTTCTCTAAAATGCCTAGCACAGTGTCTGGCACATAGCAAATGTCTACTCAATAAAAGTCGATTGAATGGGATGAGTGTTCAGAGTTACACGGTGAAGCCTCAGGCAGGCTTCCCAGGGGTCTGACCTCTAACCATCCTGCTGTGGCCTGTCTTCCCGGCTTTCCACCTCAGGGTCAGGACCACAGCTGCCCATATCAGCTCAGGTAGCTGCTTCAGAGCCACGTATCGATAGTGCCTGCGAGAAAGACTGCCGGGCCTGGCTGCCAAAGCTGGGACCCCAGAGGCTGGGCTGAGGTGACAGACCCCTCCAGGCTCTTGCTGGTCACTGCCCAGGTCCCTCCTGCAGGAGGAACAGCATGCGTGGCTCCACTCTGGGCAGCTGGAGTCAAAAGGCTGCTGGGCCGGGAGGACACCTCTCAGCCAGAGGCCCCTGGGTGCCTGATTCCTTGCCCTGAGAAGCCAATCTGAGGCGCATGGGCCCCTGGGAGCCAGGCAGTAGCATTGCCCAGGCATTGGTGAAGCATGTACAGGGCATTCCATGACAGGAGTTAGCTGGACCCCTCACTAAGCAAGGCATCATTGGGCTGGTCAACCACAACTTTTATTTCCTTCCATTTGGAAGTAACAGCAATTTTTAAAAGTTTAAATTGTTGATTCATCAATAACCTGTGGTTATTTACATGTATTGTACAGGTTATTTGCGTAGCACCTCCGCATGCTTGACAATAGATACCCTATCCCCCTCATCTCCTGCTTCTAGGGAACGCCGGACTTTCTTGGTGGCACTGTGTCATCTTGATACATACACCAGGGGCTTGTTACAGTGAGGTGCCACACCCCAACCACCAAAGCCCTCTCTGTGGAAAGGGGATCTGAGCATGATCTGCCTGTCATCAGATGGGTTGGTGTGGTGGGAAGGGGTGATGCATATTTGGGAGTAAGGAATACATGAGTTTGAACCTTACTTTGTTACAAACTAGCTGTGCAACCTTTAATAAGCTATTTGATCTCTCTGAGCCTCCTCTTTGTCACCCTGCCCCCTGCTACCTGCGTTCTGGATTTGAGGTCTCTGAGGTTCCTTTCAGCTCTGACTTTCTATGGTTCTTTCTTATCATGACTCCTTCCAATACTGTGTTGAAATCCTAGGAAGATTGTGTTGTTTTTTAGTTCCTAGTGGTGATGAGCTAGACACAATGCTATATTTTTATGTGTGTGTGTGCATGTGTGTGCACACTCAACCGCTCAGTCATGTCCAACTCTTTGCTGCCCCATGGACTGTAGCCTGCCTGGCTCCTCAGTCCATGGGATTTTTCAGGCAAGAATACTGGAGCAGGTTGCCATTTTCCCCTCCAGGGTATCTTCCCAGCCCAAGGATTGAACCTGCATCTCCTGCATTGGCAGGCAGATTCTTTACCACTGGCGCCCTGTGATGTAGTCGTATTTTTTTTATTAAATGAGATAAAGCATAATGCTCATAGTTTCTTGCTGGTAGAGATTATTATCCCCATTCTAGATACTTCTATAGATAAACTGAATTCTAAAGTTCAGAATGTTTCAGTAATTTGCCCAAATATCTTATCAGGAGCAGAGAAAGGATTGAATCCAGGTCTAGTGCATGCATGCCTGCTAAGTTGCTTCAGTCATGTCCAACTCTTTGTGACCCTATGGACTGAAGCCCACCAGGCTCCTCTGTCCATGGGATTCTCCAGGCAAGAATACAGGAGTAGGTTGTCATTTCCTCCTCTAGGAGATCTTCTGACCCAGCGATCCAACTTTTGTCTGTTATATCTCCTTCATTAGCAGGCCAATTCTTTACCACTAGCGTGACCTGGGAAGCCCTTAACTAGTGAGCCCATGTGTATTTTGAGTCAGCCTCAAGAAGCTGTAAGATTTATGGAGGAGTTGCCTCAAGGCTGTCAGTGGGGGTGATTTTTCTCCTCTTATTTTTGCCATGGACTCTGCACTCTGCTCCAGCCCATGCCTGACTCCTCGCCCTCCCTCCTCACCTTCTCTCCAGTGGGCAGTTGAGCCCCTGGCAGCCCTGCCTCTGTCCATAGCTGGAGGCCTGCCCAACTGGGCTGCTGACCAGGGAAGTACAGCAGAGTGTGGGGGAGGCCAGACTACTGGACCAGAGCTCTGACAGGGAAAGAAATTTGGCAGATTAAGGTATGTTTGCTCTTAGACATCAATTTAGGTAACCCCAGCTCTCCAGCTACCCTGGGCTTTTCTGGACAGGCTAAGTGCCTCCTGTCCTTGTACCAGCAGGTGCTCATCTGTGGCCTCAGGGTCCCAGAATAATTGCTCTTCAGTGGTGCCATCTGCTTCCAGTAGACATAGGTCACCTCTAGCTCCTCTGTCTAAGGATGAATTAGTCACTGGCTTAGAGTGTCTGAGACAGAAGAGGAGTGATAGCAAGCCCTGAAGCCCAACTCCCTCACATTTGGAGAAGAGGAAACAGAAGCACAGAATTCCAGCGTTTTCAAGGTCACTCAACCACAGGCTCTTTTCTCTTCCTAATTCTGACTGTTGCTCCCCAGCCTCTGATGTAAAAGGCAATCATCCTCAAGGAATAGAACAGAGAAACTCAGCCTCTACAGCTTGTCAGCAAATTAATGATAGGTCTAGAGGGGAAAAGTGATGGAGAGATGTCAGCTTTGTGGTTAAAAAAGTAGTTTCTTTGTTTGAACTGGGGATAGCCTTCAGATGGGTTATATTAAAGAGCGTGCTAAGCACTCTGGATTAGATTCAGTGAAAGCTTCCGCTAGCTGGCATTGGAATGGCATCTAGGAAGC